AGGGCTGAGTGTCCCCGAGGGGTGTGTGTCCGTTGTGAAGCCGTGGGCTTATGAAGGAGTGAACCCGAAGGCATATGTGATGTATTATGAGGGGCATTGGCCGGGAGCACTTCTGGATAAGTGTACCCGGGGGCTCCTCCTGATGAAGTGGAGTGAAGGAGACAGCCCGGGTTCCCAGAATATAGCCGTTGTAATAGAGCCGTTGGAAGATGTAATGTCGGAAATATAGCCGTTGGAGGGGGGGCCTCCACGTGGCGTGCGTTCGTTGGCTGTCTGTGGGCGGGCGTCACCGATTGGGCAACTCGACGGTTTGTAATGATGGTTTTGTAACCGGAGGCCCGGTTTCCGGGCCCAAGCCCGGATCTGGGCGCCTATAAATACCCAAGGCCAAAGGACCACTTCCTTGTGCGATTATTGTTGTTAGCGGAGCTCTGCCGAATTTTCTAGAGAGAAACTCCAGCCTTCCGTCAAAACCAGTTTTCAGAGGTCAGTTCTTGCTCCGTTCTTGGCAATTCTTGCATACTTTGCTTCCCGGCCTTAGATTAGTGTTTGTAGCTTAGAGCCTTTAGTATCTCCCTCTGAATCCTCGGTTTAGTATAAAAAATGTCTTCACAAAGCGATTCCCAAGACATCTCGAGGGAGCCTTCGATGGAGGAGGAAAGCTTCTCAGACGTGGAGTCCACGAGTGAGCAACCCTTGGTCGGGGATGATGTCGCAATGGCCATAGAGGTACAGAAGGACCTTGTGGCTGAAGTCGAAGCTGAGGACTTCGAGCAGGTGACCGAAGACGGGGAGATGGCCCTCGCCGTTCAAGTCGCTGAGCAGGAGGAGCAAAAGGAGAGTATGAAGGTCACCATCGTCGTGCCCCCCCCCCCCCCCCCTCGTGGTGCTGGCGAAGCAGGGAGCTCTGGGCCTCTGAACCCGACGCCTCTAAGGGTGGCCCCCCGGGAACAAGCAGGAGAAGACGAAGGCTGCTCCCAAGAAGAAGGGCAGGGTTGCTGATCAAGGAAGACCTATTGATATGCCCGAGGGGTACTCTTGGTTGAATACCGCTGCCCTCAAGATAGGGTCGAAAGCTGACCGGGAGGATCTTTTCGTCACTCAGTTGCATGTGGGGCCTTCGGCCGTAGTGGTGGCGTCGTGCCTGATGATGTGCTCTCCCGGGCTCCCGAGGGTTGCATCGCCGTCCATATTCTGTCCGTATTCATGGGTCTCCGGTTCCCTCTGCACCTATTCCTTCGGGAATATCTTAGGTATGTGGGTCTGGTCCCTTTCCAATTGACGCCCAATAGCCACTCATATCTGGCAGGCTTCCTAAACCTTTACCGGTCCCGAGGGGTGACCCCCAGCTTGGATTTGTTCTTCCAGAGTTTCAACCTCTGCCGGGGAGGTCACGCGAATGCCGAGGGCTTCGCGAACCTGCAGCAGATAGCCAGGTGGAAGCTGTTTACCGAGGCGCCTTCATCAAATAAAGGCTAGAAGGAGTGATGGTGTTACGTCAGAGTGGGTGAGAGCCCCTTCCCGAGGGAGCTACGGGATCGTTTCCGACGGCATCCGAAGGTCGGAAATGCTGCTCTCGAGAAAGATGGTTTGATCATAGCCAAGATTCCGGAGGGTCGCACGAAGAATGTATCTATCAAAGACTACACCCTCGATAAGGATCTTTATGCCCTCGGCTTCCGGAGATATCGCTTCCTTGGTGAGACGGACGAGAGGTACCCCGAGTTGGACAGGGCCTTCGAGGGAGCAGGAGGTAGTAGCCGAGGGCTTCCCAATTTGTACTTAGGATTTTTTCCTCTTTTTTTTATTGTCTGTTCACGCCTTCTACCCCTCGGTCTAACTGTTTTTTTTGTTGTTTGCAGGCGCGAATATGGATGCAGGGAAACTCCGCCTTGAAAAAGAAAAAGGGCAAGGCCCAGGCTCAGAAGAAGGACCCGTCGGCCCAGCAGCCCGTTGAGGCCTTTTTCCAGAAGGAGATACCGGAGCCCTCCGCTGTGGCTACCGTTGCTGATGTGGCCGAGGGGGCCACGAAAAATAAGAAAGGCAGTAAGGGGGTAGAGCCCCCTGCCAAGAAGCAGAGGGGTCCCGGGGATGTTGCTGACCAGGCGGCCCCCTTGGCGATCATAGAGGATCGCTCCTCTCCCGAGCCCCCGGTTGGCACCTCGGCGACAGCTCGGACGGACCTTCCCGGGGGAGGCTTCCCCCGGGAGATTCTGCAACTCTCCCTGGCTCCGGAAGCTTCCGTGATGCATGGCTCGGCCGAACCGAAGGCCTTCCTGAGGGGGATCACTTCGGTGATGGACAAGGCGGCCCTCTCGACCTATGACGACGAGGCCCTCTAGAGCAAGATCTTCCGATCTTCTCTAACCGTAAGTTTTTTCCCTTGTCTTTGTTTTAACATTTAATACATTTCCAACATTTGTCTAACTCCTCTGTTCATTGTTTTAACAAGCTTGCATAACCCTCGGGGAGCATGCGCAAAAGCTCGAGCAGCGGCGCCTCCACAAGGCAGAGTCCGCCAAGGCCGAAGCCATCGCCAAAGCTCGAGAGGATGCTGTTGATGCGTTCATGGATGAGGGCTAGAAGATCGAGGAGTGGCAGCAGTGGGTGGCCTCGGTTGTCGAGTCTTCGGTGGGTGGATAGCTGGGTGAAGGGCCCCGGGGCCGACTGGATGGCGGAAAAGGGCGACAGCTACTATCAAGGGGGTGAATTCTTCACCCAGCATCTGGTTTACCGGAGGCTTGCTAGGCATTTCAACGTCTCCCTCGAGGAATTTGACCCTTCGGCGTATGGCCTTCCTCCTCTGCAATCGGATGTAAGAAACCCCTTCCCCCCGGGCGAAGAAAGGCCGGTGATCCATGACTCCATGATGATGGGGGGATCCGGCGATGGTGATGCTGACGGTGCTGCCGGGGAAGAGGTCACCTCCAAAGCTGCCGAGGGGGACGCCACTGCCGAAGTTGCTGATAAGATTTGTACTTAGGGATTTTTGTCAATGATCTGCTGTAATGAACTCTGTAGCCCTCGGCTTTGCCTGTTTGTAACAAACGCTTTATTACTTTCCTTCTGTTGTATTTGAATACTTACTCTGAATGAATGGGGCGCCTCCGGGCTTTTCCTTTATGTGATTGCTTTTCCTTCGTTTCCTTTATGTTTTGTGTATGAATGTGGGTTTGTATGATGATTTGGCCGAGGACCCGTTTTTGGGACTTGGAAATTTTCCTAAGTGTAGTCGTGCCCTGAGCTTTCGGTTGGGTATTTCCTTCTGATCTTGTGTGGCCTGCCCCTGTTGACCGAGGGTTGATGATTCAGGACTTCGGCCTGTAGGGGGCCAAGCATTTAGGACTTAAACATTTTTCAAAGTGTAATGCATCATGTAGCCTTCGGCTACCATGGTCCCTTAGCTGCATGATGATTAGGCTGAGGGCCTAATCTTTAGGACTTGGAAAAAGTTCCTAAGTGTGAATTAGCCGCCTAGCCTTCGGTCAGTGGGCATTTCTTGCTGCATGAAGTGGGGTGACCCTCGTTGCAATGTGAGTTTGTCGAGGGCCACACGCTTTATGACTTAGAAGTTTTTTCTAAGTGTTTCCTGTTGCTGGCCTTCGGTGAGGGGACCCTTCGGGATAGTGGCAATCTCCGAGGGCAGCCTACTTTGTGGGCCTAGAATAATTTCCCTTGTCTCGCAAGACTGGCCTGCGGCAAAAAAAGCCTTCGGCTGTTGTCATGTCTCCACAGTGTTGACTTAGGAAATTTTGTAGTCCAAGTGCAGCATGAAAAAGACAGACTCCCTCGGGCAATGTCTGAGTGTATCCCCTCGGCGTCTAGTGAGGTGCCGGAGGTAATTCTTGCTTGGACTTGGCCAACATCTGATAGCATTTGTTGTATAGTAGCCTTCGGGGACGTTTTTGAATTGTTGTTGAGTGAACCTATCAAATTCTGTAGGATTTGAGCCTTCGGTTTTGATGTAGCCGGAGGCAATCAAAAAGTGGACTTAGCCATTTGTTGATGATATTTGTTGAATAGTATCTTTGGTAATTAGGAGCTTCCAGGTACCGGAGGTGTTCCCGTGGGGGTCCCTCGGTATGTTCCCGTGAATTGTTGGAGTGATGTACTCATTGATTTCTCGATGAGTCTACTCCCCTTCACCACCCCAAATATTTTTTTTGGTAGTGAAGGGAAGGCTTCAAGAAACTTGGTTTCTTCGTAAGGCTGGGCCTATCGGGAGGCAACAGAATACACCATTAGCTTCCCCCTCGGGTTAACCTTCCGAGTTCCGAGGGGATCGAGGGTCGTTTCCTGGGCACGAGACATGGTCTGTAGCCTGCCTCCCCTTGGGAGATGGCACAGAAAGTGCCTCAGTTTTGAAAGTCGTCCCCTCGGCGCCAGACATAGTCCGTGGCCTGCCACACCCTTGGGGTAGTGGCGCGGGGAGCGTTTCGATTTGGAAGTCGAATCCTGGGCATATCAGATGCTTGCCAATCCCTGTGGGGAATGGCGCGGAAAGCATTCCGTTTTTGAAAGTCGAATCCTGGGCATGTTACTTGCCTGTCATACCCTTGGGGTAGTGACGCGGAAAGCGTTTCAGGGAAGGGTTTTCATTTGCACACTGGTTGCAAATGGCCGGGGGCACTACGTGCTACCGACACCGATAGGGGGCGCCTTCGGTATATGCGTCCTCGAGCGGTACGGCTTTTAGAAACAACACTTGGTGTTTGTTCCGGTATACGTACCCCGGTACTTAGTACCGAGGGGTCTTCTTTGAAAACACTGGTGTTTTCCTTCACTTGGTGCCGAAGGGACTCCCAAGGAAACACTTGGTGTTTTCTCTTCTGTTTGTTGCAAGTGATCGGAGAGTCTACTCCTAGCACTTGGTGACGAAGGGTCTTTTTTGAGGGGACATCACTTGGTGTTTTTCCTCCTTCGTTGTAGGTAGTAGATGATATGTTCCCTCGGCACTCGGTGACGAAGGGTCTTGTTACGAAAAGGCCTTGGGCCGGGAGCTCGTATGAGGGCTTGGCAGCTCATGATAGTCTCGATAAGTGTCTTCAATAAAATACTAACAAAATAAGTAGGGTCGACGACTGCGGCAGCAATGAATCGAGCAAAGAGAATCCTAGCTTCCCCACTGGCCAACTTCTTCTTTTCCGGCCAATCCTTTCTAAGGCGCTCGAATCAATTTCAGGTGACTCAGTCCATCCATCTCTCTCCCTCCTATTTATCCAAATCCCGCGCTCCCACGAATAGAATTCTCCACGCAAATCAACAGCTCTTGTTCTCAATGAGGCCCAATTCATTCATAAATGAGGTGCTGTCTAATGATTGGTCTGATAAGTTGGAGAAGTCAATGTCAGAAGGATGTGGCTCTCAGTTCAGCCATGAAGCTGTCATGTATGTGTTGAAAAGGCTCAGTAAGGACCCGCCAAAAGCTCGGAAGTTCTTTAATTGGGTTGTGAATATAAGTGGGTTTGAACCAAATTCTTCTGTTTATAACTTGATGCTTAGGATTTACGCACAAAAGGATTCAATGAAGGATTTTTGGGTAATTATAAGAGAAATGAAAGAGAAGGGGATTTGTATCGATGGAGAAACTTATAAATCCATACATTCCAGTTTTCGGAAATCAAAGATGGATACCGACGCTGCAGCTTTGGAAAAGGCTTACAAGCTAACAGTGAAAGAAAATGCTACTTGTGACTCGGTGAATGAGGTGGTTGCAGTGATTAATCAGTCAGATTGGGGGTATGAGGTGGAGAAAGAACTGGTGGCTAAAAAGTTGTTACTTTCTGATGATTTTATACTTAGAGTTCTAAAGGAACTTAGAGATGCACGGTGTCCTCTAAAGGCTGTCAAGTTTTTCAATTGGGTAGATGAAGGTCTTGGCTATGAGCACAACAGCATTACTTATAATGGGATTCTTAGGGTTCTTCCCCGAGAAGAATCTGTTGAAGAGTTCTGGAGTATGCTGGAGAAGGTGAAGACCGCGGGCTATTGTATGGATCTTGATACATATATAAAGGTCTCGAGGTATTTTCAAAAAACTCGAAGATTTAAAGATGCCATAGAACTTTATGAGCATATGATGGATAGCCCTTATAAGCCTTCAACTGGTGAATTTACAATACTTTTGCGAAGCATTGCAACTCGGATTCCTTCAGATATTGATATGCTATTCAGGGTTGTGAAAAAATTTGAGGAGTCTGGGAATTCATTGACAAAGGCAATTTATGATGTGATTCATAGGTCCATGACTAGCCTTGGGAAATTTGATGAAGCAGAAAAGATTATGGAAGCCATGAGAAGTGCAGGGTATGAACCTGACAACATCACTTACAGCCAGCTAATTCATGGACTTTGTAAAGCAGGAAGAATGGAGGAAGCGTCTATGGTAATAGATACAATGGAAGGACTAGGATGCAATCCTGATATCAAGACTTGGACTATTTTGATCCAAGGTCACTGTAAAGCTAATGCAGTAGACAAAGCATTGCTTTGTCTTGCTAAGATGGTGGAGAAAAATGTTGATGCAGATGGTGATCTGTTGGATGTATTAATAAACGGTTTTCTCGATCAGGGAAAATTAGTAGGTGCATATGAATTGCTAAAAGAGATGGTGGCTAAGGCTCACGTGCGACCATGGCAAACAACGTACAAGAATCTGATTCATAAGCTGTTGGGAGAAATGAAACTGGAAGAAGCTTTGGATCTACTTTGCGGGATGAAGAAAATCAATTATCCGCCTTTTGTAGAACCTTTTTATAAATACATTTCCAAGCTAGGGACAGTGGAGGATGCAATGGAGTTTCTGAAGGCCATTAGTAAGGGATATCCTTCTGCCGCAGCATACCAGCACATTTTTGAATCATTCTTTGAGGAGGGCAGGCTGTACGAGGCAAAAGATCTTCTCTATAAGTGCCCGCACCATATCCGTAAACACCCTAAGATCTGCAGCCTCTTTGGTTCGGCAAACAACTGCAGTTGAAGACTGACTACTCCTTCAAGTCAAGACCAGCTTCTTGGATGGAGTAAATATTCCGATCAGCTATGCATTATAAATTTAAAACACACTGGGCTAATTGCATGTTTGTCCAAAGGTCTTCTTGCATAGTAGAATGAAGTTTGTCTAAGGCCTTACTATTGGTACATGGCACGCCACAAATCAATTCTACGTTGTTGTGCACCCATAGACCATAGTCATGTCAATTAATGACATCGATGGATCACGTGTGGTGTTAATACATGGCTCATATACAATGATTGGTCTATTAATGACGTTGCAGACTGGCTCTACATAGGAACCATACTCCTTTTCCCGGCCTTCTTGTACTTGTGCTCAACTTAATTCTTTTTATTTTTTAATTTTGGGTAACAAATATTTATCATTTTCAAATCTGGCGATTTAATCGACCATTTAATTGTGTGAAAAAAAAATACTTACAAAATAAGTTTTATGCATGTTTTATAAAAGAAGTAACCAAATAATTAATTTTGTTTAATATATTTTACAACAATAAAAATAAGAGGTATGATAAGAGAACAGAGGAGGAGGATCTGGATGGTTATGATAATCCAAACAACACCCTAAGCTTCACTCATCTTTGAAGGGCATTTCATAGTATTTTTTTGCTAATGAGAAAATCAATAAACCTAAGATTTGTGATTTACAAGACAACGAAAGAGTGAACTTTCTCCAAAAGGATAAAAAGTTTTTAAAATTGGGGATTGCAAAAGATCGAATTTCTAATCGAATGACAAAAATTAGGATTTAAATTCCAGATCGAGAAGTATATAAATGTAAAACTTGGTCATTAACTCATTATAAAACCTGGTCATGAAAACCTTCTACTTTTTTTATTCATGATTTCTTTCAACAAGTTTTGTTGGAAGAACCTTGTTAACTTACAGATCTTTTACTGTCATGGAAGAAGCATCCTTTTTGAAACATTGGTGGACATATCAGCAGAATGAGTCACTATGGGCCATGTTCATTCATTCAAGAAATGCCAGACAAAGAGATAGAGATACAGGCCCATAGACTCATACATTTGGAGGAGAATATGCGAAACACATGAAGTTGGGATGAAAAGGGTTTTGTGGAATGATGAAGGAAGACTGGTTTGGAAACTGGGCATCTCAGGTAATTTTACCTCTGCCTGTGAGAGCCTTTAAGATCAAGGTGGGGTACAACCTTATCCAACAAATATATCTTGTAACCCAATCAAATGGCAAAGATTTTTATTTTTCAGTGGAAGTGTTTCAAACATTGTATCCCTTTACCTTAAAATTTTAAAAAGGTTCGAGATCCATTTGCCATCACTTTGTTATCTCTGTTACAACGTATCCCCTTCAATGGATCATTTGCTACATTCTTGTAAATTTTCATCTCAAATTTGACATTTTTTCTCTTGATTATTGCACATAAAATGGTCTATAACCTCTCTTAAACAATGCTGTTTCAGATGGTGGCTTGCTGCAAGTCGGCATTCTCTTGATGACCAATATATTGGTATTCTTCCTGGGGTTATAGTATGGTATATTTGGAAAGCTTACTATAAAGCTTGATGGGAGGATAAAATCTCAACGGTTTCTAAAGGAGGTAAGGGTCATATTGGTCCTCGAAATTGCATAAAAAGCGTCAAATAAGTCCTTACTGTCCGGCCGTCGCCATTTGGGGAGGTCTCCGGTGAAATTTTTTGATAATTTTTTTTGAGCATCTTACTAATTAAGTCTAATTTACTCATACCAAATTTCAGCTAAAACGTCAATCGAGAAGGCATTCAAATAAATGCTTGAAGGTAACTGCGCTTTTAACTGCAGAGTTATCTTCAAGACATCATTTGAATGCCTTCCCGATTGAAGTTTTAGCTGAAATTTGGAATGAGTAAACTAGATTTAATGAATAAGATGCTCAAAAAAATTCATCAAAAAATTCCACCGGGAACTGCCCAGAATGGCGACGGCCGGACAGAGACTCCTATAAAAGGACTTATTTGATCATTTTTATGCAACTTCGAGGACCAATCATACTCTTACCTCGTTTCTAAAGTTATTGTGCAAATTATGAAACACATGAGTTCATGGCGCATGGCAATGAGTGATAAAAAATTGCAGGAGAGCATAATTTGGTTAAAGAAAATGGGTTGCTTCCCCCCACTTTCCGAAGCTCTATCATTATAGGTGACTCCCTTCGAAATTTTCAACATTAGCTTTACTTCAGGCTTTAAGATGGTGTTCTTTAAATGGCTCTAACGCTATGGAAGTTGAGATTTCAGAACATTCTCTTTACTCTATGGAAGTTGAGATTTCAGAACATTCTCTTTACTCTATGGAAGTTGAGATTTCAGAACATTCTCCTTACTCGGCTATTAGAGACAAAGACCATCCTTGGAAAAGCAGGGGACAGATAATGCAAACTAAGGAGATCATATTTCAGGAGGGACATTTTTTGCTGAAGGTAAAATCTGAAGCTAATAAGTAGCAACTCAGTTGGCTCAAACTTCAGGAACTCCAAGCTACTGTTAGAGGTGCTATTTTGTTAGAAATGGTATAACTTATAGAGTATTTGTAATTCATAGTTATTTAAAAAAACATTTTTTACTACGAATGGGTCTTGTTTTATTTATCTTTTAATTTTATAAGAATAGTTAAATAGTATCATATCATATTATATGTTGGATGTAGTTTTTAGCTCCTATTGAATTGGTTGCCAACTTGCCATAATAGCCGATATTCATTGCATTATATTTAATGCCGGTTTGCACTTCTTTTGCATAAAATGTTAGGACTTGAAGTCTTGAACCTAAGAGAAATTGAAGTGGGATTTCTTTGTATATCTTACAATTTTACATTTGTAGTCTTATCCATAAACCCGAAAGTATTTGTGACGCCCTGCTCACTCTAATCTCATTTGGGATCTTTCATCAAGATCTTTTTTTTATATCGAATCTTAAAGCTATCTCTATAAATTGTATTCCATGTATGTATACAACATTGGGCATTTACTGATTTTACCCTACTGTGCAACGCGCGTGTAAAAAACTAGGAGTTATGTTTTGGTCTTATTTAGAGCAGTTGGCATACCGTGGGAGCATCCCACGGTGAGCATGGTACTCCCGTTAATAAAAATTTTCATTTAATATAAAAGTTTAACTTAAAAACGCGGATAAACAGTAACATTAGTTTTTGTCTCAATATTTTTATGTGATGTAAATCTTGTGTATTGATATGTAACTCACGGTTCTACGCAATGTAAGTTCAGTTATTGATAAATGTAACCCATGCACTGGAATGTAACTTAACTCCTTCCAATAATTATTCTCTTGTCTATCATATACGAAATGTAAATCGTGTATATTAAGATGTAAGTTTAAGTAACTTAGATGTAAATCACGTTAACGTAATGTAATTTGTTGAGGTAGATCAAAATGTAAATCACATGAATTTAAGTGTAACTTGGCATAGATTGTCATGTAAATTGGGTTAAAGGAAATGTAACCTAAGGCATATTGAAATGTAACTTAACACCAATAAAAATGTAAGTTCTCATTTAGTCCATATACTCCAAATATAACACCAGTGCTTCAACCTACCTAACTAACGGCAAACTCGCTGGCAAGGCTACAAGCATGGCTGGAGATGGACAAGCTATTCTATTTGTCATCTATAACACCTAAGTGCTTAATAGAGTCATGTCTGCTATCGGGGGGAAAACCTCTCGTTCAAACCAATCAATGTCATCTGCGCACATTGAGAATCAAACGGAATTCACATCTGGATCTTGAAGCTGACGAAGATGGAAAAATCATGGTCAAGATGGGGACTCTGTGATGAATACGATTTTCAAAACCGTTTCAAGCTTCTTCATGCAGGCATATAAAGAGAAGACCAGGGCGAAAACCAACTCTTTTAAAGTAGATAAGATGTGCATAGCAGACTCATCCAATTTGATTTCAAATTAATAAACCAGCAATCCAGCATACTTATTGGAACACAGGGTCGAAGATCAGAGCCAAGTCTCTGCAGGACTCCGGTAGACGAACCGACGACACTCTCTATTGAGTGGCGCAAGAAAATTTGCAATTTTTAAGAGAAGAACGGTATCGTTTTGGGATCGGCACACCGTGCGCACGGTGGGCCGATCCCACGGTATAATTTGCGATTTAGAGAGTGCCTATATGGTACATCCGGGTGTATGTACACTCGGCCCAACCAAGGTAGAAAGCCCAAAAACTAATACCGGCCAAAAATAATTCGGTGGCATTTTTGTAATTTAAGCGAAAAATCATGTCTTCCGTTAAATGAGCAACATTGTACTTTTAATGAGCATCAAACCTATTTTATTGAGTATTTAAGAGACTAACAATGAGTATCACGATATCTTTTTCATATCTTCTAATTCTTTTTTCTTTTTCTTATTTTATCTTTTATAAAAACTTATTATATTATATCTATAATACATAGCAGGACCCTCCATTGCAACCATGGCAGACGCCACCTTCAATTCAGGACGGGTCTGATGGATTTCAAACTGTTGATTGCCTGATTGGCCCTGGCGAGCCATCCAATCGGGTATGCCCCCTCAAACGCTGGTAGCGTCAGAGGCGCGGTCATAGACCTAGGGTTGTGGGAGTTCTGCGAGTCATCTGTGCCTCCTCCTGACTCAGAATCAACCAGCGGTTCCCCCGACGCCATAACCTTCTGCGCCAGTTTGTCTAGGGTTTGTGTGATAGCATCAAACTTGGCGTTGGTGGATTGCACTTCTGCCCTGATGTCCTTCTGGTTCGCTTCTATCGCATCCATGCGTTGATCAATGGTGGAACGAGTCATGATGAATGCAGGGCGGTGGATAGGATCCGGCAGGTCAGACCAAATTGATAGAAACAGAAAACCTAGCAAACTATAACAACGTCTGCCCTAGCCGTAAGCTTAACCAAAAGTTTATTAACGATAATAGTTCTTAAGACATCCTTAAATACTCCTTAATCTAATAATAAAATAAGGTCATCTAGGCCCAACAGTTTATTAGAAATAACAGTTAATGAAATAAAGTAATAAGACCTAGCAGTCAACCCAACCCATCCAGGCCCACTGGCGGCGACGGTAGACCAATAACGGTCGAGGCCCGTCCTCCTGCACCGGCCCACTTGTCTGGTGCTCCCAAGCAGACCCACTTATCCCGTGCTCCCTAACATTGCCTCACCAATTTTTGCCAAATATTTCAAAAAGCATGAGCAAATCTCCGAATCCCTAAGCTTAGACATTAAAAATTGCTCCCATCCATTTATAATGGTACCCAAATCTTTTAAAGATGTGTTAATTTCTAATTGAACTTCATCGATTAAAAAAGGAAGACACCTCATTCCTATGCACCCCAATATGACTAGAAGATGACTATCTAGAAGGAGGTAAATTGGACTTTGATCATATAGATCACATATTGATAAATAGAGAGTGAGGTTCTAGATTGGATGATGACACTTCTAGTGTCTCTTCTGGTAAATTGGATGATGACAACGACAGTGCAAAGCCGGATCAATCAAAATAATACGAAATCAACAAACTTTCTCTCCTCACTCCTCAGTAACACAAATGGTACTCACGAATAAAGATTCAAGAAGAAGCTTAATATGCAGCAAAGCAACAATCCAAATATCCAATGAATATGATTCTGTGGTTCTCTCTACATCTCTCCATATATATGGGAAATGATCAATTTCAGCCAGGAAGAACTCACATAGACTGTTGGCAATTGCTGCCATACAATTCCAGTCAACAAGATACCAATTTCCCAAAATGCAAGAGAAATTACCAGCTTAATAGTGTGGAGAGAAGTTTGCTTATCTTATAGTTTAGGGGATTTATCCATCATTTTTCACTTCAAATTAAAAAATATATAGAGATTCCTAGTTCATAGAATAAAAATACTCCCACAATTATAACTTAGACATATCAATTAATTGATCAAAATCATCACTTTTAAAAATAAAATGAAAACCTTTCAAGTACTATACCGGAATGAATACTCAGTTTAGCAAATTCATTAGTTGATTGGATCGATCAAAGACAGAGAGTTCTTCATGACTGAAAATGTCACACTGCCATTCTCCATATATATACGCACAAATACATAGATCCAACTAAAATCCAATATAAAATGAAATAAAGAATCTGCAGAAACAAGGCAATAAAATCAGAGCTCAGCAATCTAGAACCTTGACGGATCTCCTGCTTTTTGGCCTCCAGGATTGAAGCACAGAGTCCTGATACTTAGAGGGAAGAGAAGCGATGGCTCTTCTTCTTTTCCTTCTGTCCCTCCCGAGAAGAGACGATTTCGGATCGGCGATCATGATGCAGAGCTTGTCGAAGCAGACAGCTCTTCTCCGCCGTCGGATGACTCGTTTCTGGATGTAAGGAAAACCGACCGCCGATCCAGCTGTGACTTGGTGGATTGCCTTAACAAGCAGATCGAGGCCTCTACACCGAGATGGGATAGAAGGGTAGGGGATTGGAGCGGAGGAAGACGAATCCGTGGAGGAAGCTAGAGAGTTGGTGGTGATCGAAGAAGAAGATGACAATGAGAGTGAAATCGGAGAATTGGGAATTGAATTCCTTATTCTCATTTCGAATGGTTTAGGAGAATCTTCTTCTTAAGAAACGATGGAGAAATAGTAAATTAAGAATGATCAAACGAGAGAACTCTGAAAATGGAGGCTATGGCTAATGCCTGGACTGTGCGTGGAGTGAAGCTGTGTAGTCCTAACTTCAAAGTGCATCTCCAATGTTTTGTACTCTTGCGGTATATTGTACTCCTATTTCAAAGTCATCTAATAATAAGAAATAGTAACATTGAAATTACTTTATTGTCACTATTGGCTGAAGTACGAGACTTGGCAGATATTCATTTTAGCTGTTTTTATACTCTATATGTTCCTTAAAATTCAGACGAGAATTTTAAGGATGTTTTCTTTGGGACTATCAGTCCCGGATCAGACCTAACTTAAACAGACCAGATAGGACTTGGACAATTATAAAATACACAGAGAACATACATTTACCAAACCAGCCCAGACCTAAACAGATCAGGCAAAACCAGTAAATTCCATCCAAAAGAAAACTCCTAATAATAAAGTAAAATTTGTGTGACTGATTGTGTAGAGAGGAGAAAATTATCTGAAAACACAAATTTTTTACTTAAATGGGAAAGTGACAAAGTTGGTGGGACAAATAAAAAAAAAGTACAAATTGTTCCTTTAAGGGACGGAGGGAGTATACTTGTTCCTTTATTTTATTAATAAAATGTATTTTAATTATATTTTTTTACAAATCAGCAGAATTAGTCATTCCAGTCAGAACTTTATAAATTTCATCAGAATTAACCAACACAATCGATTTGGGTTTTAACAAACGGACTCTCAAACTCGAAAGAAAGAGAAAAGTATGAAAACTATCATTATAATTATAATATGGAAAATGAAAACTAATAATTCAACCTTTTAGCGATTTTTTTTACAATAGTCTCATCTCATCGTAAATCAGGAATAATACAACCTTTACACCCATCTTCATTCTTTGGTCCCTGACCGGTTAATGACCTACTATTCCAAGTTTTTTCATTTTCTTTGCAAATCATTCAACCATAAATCGTACCTTTCACAAATCTTTTACAAACAGTCCCACGTATCAATTTTCTTTTTTCTCCCTAAAAATTTCCCTTTTTTATCGTCTCGACTCTTTTATTCTTCTTTTCCTTTTCTTACCTTTATTCCACCACTAATATATTTTTGAGAAAATAATCCCAAAATAGGACTAAACTAGTCCCTAAATGCACAAATAGGACTATGTTATTTATCTTCCCAAAATAGGATAATCATATTTTACATTATAATAAAAAAGAAAAATAACACGAAGTATTTCAATTTATAAAAATATAGTAACAAAATAATAAAAAAGTTAAAACTATTTTTTAAATAATAAAATAATAAATAGTAATAAAAAATAATTTAAAGAAAACTTTAAAAGTAAATAATAATAGATAAAACACATTAATAATATAAAAAATTGGAGGCCTTTCACGCATCCTCGCCACCTCCCAGCAATGCCAACTCTGATCGACGAAAAAGTGTCATTTTGTGTACACACTGTGATTTTTTCTCTAAAAATGTCATGTATGTCATTAATATGACATTTTTACTCTTTGAAAATGCCAAAATTTTCTAGAAAATTGTCATGAAGATGACATTACTAACACATGTTGGTATTTTTCAGGTGGTCAAAGATGGTGGTGTTGGTAGGTTGTTGAAACGGCAGCAGATGCCTACATATTATTTTTTACTTTTTAAATTTAAGTTTTTGAGTTTTTAGTTTTATAGTTTTCATTTTTCTAATGTTTTAGTTTTATTAAATTTATTTAATATTTTTTTCGTTTTTTATTTTTCTACATTTGTATTATAAATAAGGTTGTGTTATTACTTTTATGCTTTAATTATTAATGAAATATGAATTGCACTAAACAAAGCAAGGACAGAATTGGAAATCTAGTCCTATTTAAGTAATCTTGAAATTATATACTCACGTCCTTGCAATTGAAGTTTCATTAAATACTACTCCGTATTTGAGAAATGTCCCCTATATTTTTCTCTTTTCTAAAAATTCAAAGAAAAAATAAACAAGTAGTCCGGAAAAAATTATAAAAAGAGACTAAAACAAATATGAATACATAAAAAGGGAGAAAATTTTTAGGAAGAAAAAATAAAAATCATATGTGGGACTGATTCGAGAAGATTTGTAGAGGATGAGATTTATGGTTGGATGATTTGCAAAGATAATGAAACAACCTGGAATAGAAGGTCATCAACCAGGCAATGGACTTGTTCGACACGAAGTATGGCCCGCTCTCACATACCGAGTGGATGGCCTGGTTCCTGGTTTCGAACCTAGGACCTATACCGATGTCTTGTCAAGGGGGACAAACCATCAACACTTTATCTTCTCACTCCAAAACCAAACGATTGTAGATCTGGTCTAAAATATCAAATGGGCATTACTCCTTGACTGTGTTGTTCACTGCCACACATTCAGCCTTCTTGCTAACTAATCTAGTCCTTTGCTACTTCATCTGAAAATTGAATCTTCCTCCTCTATGTCACAGACAATTTGCCACCTCAAAACCCTAGCACTCATTTGAAAACAAAACACCGGATGCAAGAGAACCTTCGCCGTTAGACAGAGGTTGCCATTCGCTTTCTTTAGAGATGCCCTGGGCAGAGCTCTGGAATGGAGACCTCCTCTCTGTGACCATTCATACATCGTTAATAAATTGGAATATCAATTCCGTTAATATGGAAAAATGAATTGTATTGTATTCATCAATACAGTTTTTGTTTGCATTCGAGCATCTTCAATAAAATCCATTTTGCAATTTTTTTAAATACCAGGTTTGTAAAACATTACTTAAATTATTATAAGCAATTTTTTTCTTTTCTTTTATTTTTTAATTATTATAAAATTTTAAAATGCACTTTCCGATATAAACAAGAGATGATTAGGTCTATATACACTTTTTAATATGTACATTTAAGTTCATGTTATATATTTACAAAGATAAAGTGCATGGCCTTTTTAATTATCCTAGAAACTTATCAGTTATGTATGTCTAATAATAACACCAAATTCATGGAATTTGATGTCATCTAAGTACATTTTCAATGATCAAGTACAATTGGATCTTGTATTAATCAACATATTTTTTATATTAATCGCTAAAATACTAGAAGTGAGACTATTGTAAGAATACCGCTAAAAGGTTGAATTATTAGTTTCAATTTTCTCATTATAATATGTCAAATTTCACACCTTCCTCATGCTAACAAGAATAAGGTAGATACAATCAACTAAATAATTTATTAAATTGAGTATCCATTTCAGAATTCTGATGAATCTCGAAAGAGAAAAGTTTTATATATTCAAATTTGGTCATCTTGATCAATTAATTGATTTGTGTATGTTGCATTTTTTGAAGTATTTTTATTTCGTGATTTAGGAATTTCAATATTTTTTAAGAGAGGAAAGATCGATAGAGCCTAAACCACACAAGTGAGCTAATGTTACATTTTTTAGGAATTGATGCTTAGATGAAATAGTATACCAGCAACTACAAATGAGAAAGAATATAGGATTTCTAGTATATTGTACGCACCATATCGAAAATATCGATCTTATCAAAATTATTCTCGATACAATATGGTGTCATACCGAACTACTCTTATACTATGTTATAAGAACCGAACTGGACCGGATGGGTCATCCCGGAACTCGGTCACCCGGAGCCCAGTCTGGTCCGGTTGTACCCCAACCCACAAATGTGGCCGAAACCGGCAAAACCTGCTGGCCCGCCTGACCCGGACCATAACCCGCGACGGCCCAAACCCGGAAATCACATAAAACCCGGATTAAACTAAAAAAATTGCAGCTAGGGAGATTCAAACATGGGTATAACTGGTGGGAAGTTAGGCGTCATTCCAACAAGCTGCTTTAGAATGTTTGTACAATGTGTTATTTGACTATATTTAATACGGAGTATATATTTTGTATCAGTTACCGAATATACTACAAGCTAGATTTACTTTTTAATTAAAAATCACAATAAAAACATAACATCATTATTAAACAGTATATGTTGTTACTAATATTATAGTTGAAAGTATTTATATAATAATCCATTTTTCAATAATCATCATATTCATATTCAATACCTATCTAATTTAATAGTATATGTTTTATATTTTGTTAAAAAAATGTATATTTTAAAATAATATTTTTATTTCTATGTTGACCGGGTTTTCCAGGGTTGACTGGGTTGACCCGCCAGGTCCGGGCTGACCTGTGACTGGTCATTCGGCCGGGTCGCTTACCGGTCCGATTTCTACAACATAGCTCTGATATGGTATCAGCTCGTGTTTTTAAAAAGTTGGATATTTCATTGTTACTATGTACCAAAGTACCGTTAGAATTCGTTATTATTTGTACGATAACCGAAGGCCCAATTTAAAAATAAAATTCGGCCCCAACAAAATATGTCCAAGAGCCCGAATCATTGCTCAACCTCATCTTACCTCTTCGTAAGTCGTAACCCACAACTCACAACTACGGATGAAGTAAGCATTGGACGACGCCACGAAGCTCACGCAGTCCAACGAAGCACGGCAAGCACCAAGCTCAGTTCTTTCATAGCGAATACCCTTCTAAACAAAGGTAATCTATTCGATCTTGTCTTAATCCTAAAAAGTTAATTCAACTTAAGAAACCCTGAGAAGTTAATCACCGATTCTCCCCGTTTTATAAACGCCAGCAACCCATCTTTAATTTGTTTGTTTTTATTATAATCTGACCCGCGGCTCTACCTCCATATTAGAATTGATTGAGGTGTGCAGACGTTTGGGTTCTTATCCGGTTCAGTTCTGATCTGTGCGTGAAGTGTATTTATGTTCTTTGCATCTCTTCCTTTTTGTAGTTTTACTTTACTGTGTTAACCATCAAAAGGAAGGTGTTTCATAGTTTAGCTGAAGGTGTTCTTGCTGTTTTACTTTAGTCTGCTTTGTAAAGCTTACTAAGGTTGGCACTTGGTAATGAAGATATGCAAATTAGCAAATACATTTTGAGTTGACAAATAAAGATATTGTTTGTGAGGCATTATGATCTATATGACAATGAAATTAAGATGTGGTGAGTGACGGAGTTCAAAGTATGAGAGTGGTTATTCCAAGAGTTTTAGAACGCCTTTTATTTTCTTTTGCATTTCTTTTTTGCATTTATCCACCTCTTTCCCTTTGGTGACTCAATGTGTAGAAATGCTTTGGTTGCAAAATTACCTGGCATTGCATATGGGAGGCAATTAAGTAGTCCTTCGGTAATTCAGCAGTTCAGTTTTTTTTATTTTTACTGTTTTCTTGCATTGGTTATTGGGGCTACAACAAGCAGGTACACTGCTGTAATGAATTTCTAGAATTGTTCTACTTTCAGCTTCTAGAGCTTGAGTAACTCAATATATCTTTTATAGATTGAGTTACTCAGGCTGCATACATTTCTGTTTAGAGAACTACAATATCATATTCATTGGCTATCATTATCGTTTCGTTGCTGCATCTTAAGTTTCTTCTTGAATCTTGATTCGTTAGTAACACTTGCGTGGATGAGGAGAAACCGTATGTTGCTTTCATATTATCTTGATTGATCTGGCTGTGGATCACCCATTCCTCTGTTGATTAGTGAATACAGTTGGAAATTAGAACAAATCTAGAAGATTTTAGTGCCATTATAATTGAATGGGAGCAATTTCTAATGTCTCTGGTGGTGATTATTGCTGCATCAAGGTCTAGGTAGTTGGAGATTTTCTCATGCTTCCTGGTCTGAACTAGCTTAGTACTAGTGTATTTTTCTATGACACGAGTATCATCTGACTTGGTCTAATATGATCCCTTTAGTTTAAGTTTGTTCTTTTGTGGTATGTTTAAGTGTAGTTTGGTCTAATATGACCTAAGCTGGTATAATCAGGTCATAGTTGGAAATATGTCCTAATTTAAAATTTGTAATGTTGCACTAAAACTGTTTCATGTTGCACTAAAATTTGATGATGTTGCACCAAAACAACATCATGTTGCGCCAGAAAAATGTAATACGGATTTTTTAGAAGTATTTATGAAAATGCCACCGTGCTAGATTGCATATTTCAGTGCAACATGAAGCTGTTTTTACTGCAACATAGCTAAATCCAACGGCTGAGATTCATTCTCATTTCTCACCTAAAGAGGCTTCTTCTTATTTGAATCTAACCGCGCGCGCGCACACACACACACATATGGCAGCATTGTATGTTTTCCAAAAGATACAGGTGTCATGCCTTGCTATATTATCAACATATTGAGGAGTCTCTCTGTCACTTGTTGCAGAGTGGAGTGAAGCCAAGTGTTGCCCTTATAGAGAAAGAACTTGAATCCAAGAATCCAACAAAGAAGTCATTGAACTACAAAAAGAAGTTGACAAATTACACCACCCTCTTGGAAGAAAGTTTTGAGCGAAATGGAATTTGAGGAGTTGTGTGCGATCTTTGGGCCAGGACTTGCCGGCGCCGTGTTCGGAGCCGGGTGGTGGTTTTGGGTAGATGCCGTCGTTTGCAGCGACGTCAAAATCTCCTTCCTTCACTACCTTCCAGGGATTTTTGCATCTCTAGCTTCCTTGATGTTCAATTGTGTGAGAAAAGAGGATATTGATTATTCTCCATATGATGAAGGTGAATGGAGATTGAAGCTCTGGCTTTTCATTGCATATGTTGTGTCATTTGTTTCTTTGGCTGCTTCCGTGGGTCTTTTGATACAAGATGCACTTGTGAAAACTGGTCCTTCAGCTTGGACTGGAATTGCAGGTGTCCTGCAATGTGTCTTAGTTTTGATCAGCGGGCTGATTTATTGGACATCACACTCTGAGCAATAATGAACAAAAAGTTCATGGACACTTGTAAGCTGATGGCTGCAACCTGTTTCCATCACTATTGCTCAAAAGTTGGTCTTTGGATTAGCAAATCTGGTTGTCTGTGTAGATGTTATTGCTGTGAAGTAAAAGTAGTAGGAAATGAGAACCATGTTACTGAAGGATGCCCAACATGTTCATCCGAAGGATTAAAAAAAACTTCCCTAATGTGTATACGTCTAATGACTGAACTACTTGTTATGTTATACTACCGTACTACGTATGTTGCTAGTGAAGATTCCTTAAAACTTTACGATTTTTAAGAAAAATAATTTTTATTGTTTTTGACCTCATTATACCCTTGCAAAAAGTTTTCACCCTATTATTAAAAGAAAACATTTGCCAGCTTTCTGTTCACAAACCAAGAGTTAAAAATGGGTGTTAGGAAAGGTGTGTTCGGGAAGGGTGTAGTCCAATGGATGACCATCCACCTCCAAGTCTCTCCTTTGTGGGAGGTCTTGGGTTCAATTCCCACCAAGGGTGATGAGGGAGGTCTTGCTCCCAATGATTCTCCTTACCTTCACGGAGTTGCTCAGCGGCTGAGAAGGGAAAGGTGTGTTCGTAGAAAGGAGAGATGGTTGGCATCTCCCTTGACAGGGACGGGACTAGCTTTCGGGCTTTTCTTGTTACCACACATCCGGTTAAGGCTACCCACTTTGGTGGATCTATAACCGGGTGTTAGGAAAGGTAAATTAAATAAGTGTATGAGAAATGTCTGATTCATGTATACTTTATAATTATTGAAGTCCGGTGTATGTAAGTTTGGGGTCTCGTTTGTTTAAGTCTTGTTTGTTCTGATTTGGTTTAGTTTGTGACTAAAATAAGTCTAAAAAACATCCTCAAGCTATAAAAGAAGCATCTCTAAATTTGCATTAAATGTTTGTGATAAAGACAAAATGGCGAAATGTGTATACAAGATGTGCACATTAAGGATGTTTTTACTTGGACTGAAATTAGTTGTCTAGTCTGTTTAAGTCCGATTTGGTCTGAACTAGTCTGGTCTGGTAATGTCTGGTCTCTGTGTAATTTATAACTACAGAAGTCTGGTCTGGGACTGAAAATAGTCTAAGTAAAAACATCTAAGTGTCTAAGCCTGGTATTTATTTTTATTTCATTAAAAATCTGGTTAGTAAAAATTTTAGTGATTTAAATGTATTCAAACTTTCATCCATTCTTATGAATTATGATAATATAAAATCATGAATTCTTATGAAATTTTAACTCATTTTTAATGTACATCAATTCACTCATTTTTAATGTACATCAATTCTCTATAAGTTTCTCTTCCTCTTCCCAAAAAATTATATAGAATTTCTTTCATCTTCTATTTGTCACAACCACATAAAGACTCAATTTTAGGATGTTTTTAATTGGATCGAAATTTTCCAGTCTGATATGTTTAAGTCTGAAATCTGAATTAGTCTGAACTGATTTGGTAAATGTCTTGTCTATGTGTATTTTATAAATGTCAAAGTTTGATCTGATCTATTTTCTTTTGGGATTGAAAACAGTCAATTAAAAATTATCCTTAGATCCAGACATAAAAAAACTAAAATTAAAACTAAAATCCGATTTTATGTTTTTCCTTTTACGAAGACATAAAATTCAATAGACTTGTCTTAATTTGATTATTCTATCACTATAAAGGAAGAGAGTATGCAAACATTTTATAAAGTTTAAACGTCTCGTTCTAACAAAATATGTAAAATATATTGTATTTACATACATTTATGCACTAATTATTTTAATGTTAAATTTTGTTATTAATAAATGGATCAAGCACTATAGAAATGGGACCAGAACCACCCAAATAACTCGGGACAGGCCAATATCACCCCCAACACAGTCAAATACCCCTGCAATCACAAATAATAATCCATCACATCCAACAATGAGCATAACATTTATTTTTCTTACCTATTGACTCGGATTATATAATATCATACCATAACAAAATTGAGTTTCCAAATCACCCTATCAATAGAGTTTGGACCGACCTGTTCTTACAGAACTCTTCATTACTAGATAGATTACAGTTCTTTCGATTGATTTTTTTCCTTATCATTCTATTTAATAATGTTTTTTTTATCTCTTTGATGTTTAGACTTATTTGTCAAAAAAATATGTTTAGACTTATTAATACTCGTAATAGTTAACATTGTTCTTGTTGATATTATATTTTTCCATAAAATTAATAAATATCATTTATATGAAATCCATGTATCCATTAATAAAAAGTCTATGAAACCGTTTGTTTTTCAGCGGCTTGGTATTTGTAGCGTTTTCTAGTTTAAAAAAGTCAGCGGTTTCATGGAAACGCCACAAACCAAACGGAGCCTATGTGTTCAAAAGTCTAGATTTTTTGTATAATCCATGCATAAAAAAATCACTACAATCCATATATAATACACCTAAAAGTAAAAATGAATCTGGAGATTGTATGACTTCAAACTGAGTGGACTAGATCAACTTTTCACAGCAAAGTTTTTATTGTAAATGTGCTTTAAAATTGCAAAACGTGATGTTAATATAAATAATGAGTTTAGGTTCAATTCGAGCTCGGGTCTGAATAATAAATGGAATTAAGAAGCGTAAACCAGTACACATTAAAAAAAAGGTTATACTTGTATGTAATTTTCTGTAATCTCCAAGGAAAGTGGTACATAAATCCTAAAAGTCTAAAACCCTTGCGCCCGGTTTTTTCTTTTCATAACATAGCACTACCACTCTACCAGCAATGACTTACAGAAATAGTCATGTCACGATCAGAGAGGAACAAAGGAATTCTCAATGTGGCCATTCGGCTCCAGGTGGGGAAATTGACCAATGTCATGCCCATTGATTGATTCGAATTCGTTGTGCAAACCAGCAGCAAACCCTTCAGGACGCTCTCCACCACTTTGCAGGTAATCAGCAATCTGCAGAATGGAATAACACGAAGCATTAAAAAGAATTCATCCCATCTAATCTTGAATGTTACTCCCTCCATCCCATGAAAAATGTTACAAAAAACTACACACAAAATAAACTGATAAAAGTAGCATAAAATAGAGTGGAACTTAGAATCCTTTTCACTGCACCATGTCTTTTGGTGCACTAGTTTTGTCCAAGACATCACTCCAGGTTGTGAAAACCTATCCACCAAGTGCATGTTCCTTGATTACTCTTACTCCCAAAAGGGTTATAGGTAGTAGGCTTAGATTGTGCACACTCCTATATCGTATCCCAAGTTATCATATATGCATTACACCCACTAGTATGCAGGGACGGATCTATGCTTATAGGAGTGGGGCTGTTAGGAATAGTGTATAGAACTACGCATGCACTTCTCTATAGTTGTATGGTAGTTATAGACTGTTAAGGCTTCTATATTGTTAGCTGCTTCTCATTGCTGTTAGGAATAGTGTATAGAACTACGCATGTATGGTTCAATACCTACTCAAAGAACTTCAAGCTCCTTTTATCACTCCCAGAGTCTACTGTGATAATCTTAGCACAGTACAGCTTGCTCACAATCCTGTTTTGCACTCTCGGATCAAGTGCACTTGGAAATTGATCTCTTCTTTCTTGAATTTAGAAACAAACTCAGTGTGATTGACTTATCAAAGCAATCACCCTCAATTTGAGGGGGGAATGTTACGAATAGTGTATAGAACTACGTGTGCACTTCTCTATAGTTGTATGATAGTTATAGACTATTAAGGCTTCTATATTGTTAGTTGTTAGTCTATTGAGACACTCACGTGCATAAATACTCTGTAACTAACCATTCTCAATAAGATGTTTTCATTTCCATCTTATTGGAAATAGGCTATAAATATAGTACTTTATATTTTTAGGCACATGCCCCCAATAAGATTTTTGAAATAGGCTATAAATATAGTACTTTATACAATTCTATTCTTAAAAGAAAGAATTTGCTCCCATTAAATTTTTGTTCTTGCCCACATTAATAATTTTTTATGATATAGATGACCAAAAGTGTGCTAAATCAACTAAAATGGACAAAAAAGATATAAATTTTTAGGAATCCTAAGGCAATTAATAAAGTACGAAATTAAAATAAATAGAAATTAAAATAAATAGTGAAGCTCATTGCTAGCTATATCGGAGTATTTGGAAAGATAATAATTTTTTCTACTTCTCATTTCATTTAAAAGCATTTTCATTTATTAACCTAATATGTATGTGATGGATAGTGTACCCCGGGGTAGCTTATCCGAGGGGTTATTGCGGAGAATAACTAGAGAGATATCAGAGCAAATAAGTAAGAGAGAGAGTGTATATTCGATATGTATTAAGCGTGGTTTACAATGAGGGAAAGGGGTGCTATTTATAGTAGTAATAAATGCTAGATAAGGACACGTGTCAGTTTTCTGGTGGTCGAGGGGTCACCTCGACCGGGGTGACACTGGCACTCGCATGTGGCCGCATTAAATGCGGTGGTTGGATGTGACGTTTGTACTTGGTACGGTGATCCAGGCGCATGTGAAGAGGATATTCTGTCGAGGTGGATGCCTTCGGCTGAAGGGTGCTGGGCCGAAGGCTCTTCTAACTGAGGGCTCCTACCTGCCGAGGGCTGCAGGTGCCGAAGGCTTGGTTTTCAAGCCTTGTTCTCCTGTGATGCCTCTTCTAACCGAGGGCTCCCACCTGCCGAGGGCTGCAGGTGCCGAAGGCTTGGTTTTCAAGCCTTGTTCTCTTGTGATGCCTCTTCTGACCGAGGGCTCCTACCTGCCGAGGGCTGCAGGTGCCGAAGGCTTGGTTTTCAAGCCTTGTTCTCCTGTGATGCCTCTTCTAACCGAGGGCTCCTACCTGCCGAGGGCTGAAGTTGTCGAAGGCTTGGTTTTCAAGCCTTGTTCTCCTGTGATGCCTCTTCTAACTGAGGGCTCCTACCTGCCGAGGGCTGCAGTTGCCGAAGGCTTGGTTTTCAAGCCTTGTTCTCCTGTGATGTTTCTGAGCTCGATTCCGTCACTGGTAGCCTTCGGCCATGGGGCCGAAGGCCCCCCCTTTGCGTATTGTGGGCTGCTTAGAGCTCCATTTTTCTGGGCTTGGCCTGTTTGGGCCTGTTGGGCCTGATTGTAGTAGAGGAAGTATGTGGGTCGGGGGTCCCTGAGCCATATACTCCATCAGGAGTCCCCCACTCCTTTTGCCGAAAGGTACTTGAGGGAAAAGGAGTAGCTGTGGTGATTTCCTCGAAGGCTTCCCTGTTCTGTTGGGTGCCTCATTTTCTCAATTCCCCCATATGTCGAGGGCTGAGAGCTTCCTGAAGGGAGTGTAAGTGTGTTGCTCGTATGTGTTTCTTTGTTGTAGTTGGTAAAGTAATGAGAGATCTGCATTTGTGTGCTTTGCCGAGGGCATTTGTTGACTGAAGGCTTTGTGTGGCCGAAGGCATCATGTGGCCGAAGGCATTGTGTGGCCGGAGGCATCATGTGGCCGAAGGCATTGTGTGGCCGGAGGCATTCTGTAAGTCGAAAGCATCATGTCGAGGGGAGTAGATTGCCGTTGTGATCTTGCCTCGGCTTGCTGTAGCTGAGAAATAGAAAATTTTTAACATTTGCGTGTTTTGCCGAGGGGAGTCCCCCAGTCCCCCACTCCTTTTGCCGAGAGTTTCTCGAGGGAAACAGGAGTAGAGTGATGCATGCCTTCAGCAGGAGCCGCCGGGGGGTGACGCCTTTTGTTCCACAATGGGGAGATGCCTCGTTAAAAAACCTCATTAGGAAAAAACCCTGTGGGAAAAAAAAATCCTAATGAGGGAAAAAGAGTACACCGGATGCCCCCAGAATGAAGCAAAAGGAATGCACCCTTCGGCCTAGATTTTTGAGCGGTGGTTGTGTCCGTCTGCTGAGGGGATATCGAAGACCAGCCTTAGATCCTGCATGAAAAAGCTAAGGAGCTTGTAAGGACCCCCCCCCCCCCCCCCCCCCCCGTTATCAAATAAAGGTGACGGAGGGGTGCAAGGCCAGGTGGGCTTGTGTTAGAGCCCCTGGCATCAAATACAGATGCTAGAGGGATGGAGACCGAGAGGTCTTCATGATGGCCCCCGACATCAAATAAAGATGTCGGAGGGATGAAGGCCGAGGGGCCTGTATGATAGCTCCCGACATCAAATAAAGATGCCGGAGGGCTGAAGGCCGATGGCCTGTGTGATGGCCCTCGATATCAAATAAAGATGTCGGAGGGATGGAGGCCGATGGGCCTGTATGATAGCCTCTGGCATCAAATAAAGATGTCGGAGGGATGAAGGCTGAGGGACCTGTGTGATTGCCCCCAACATCAAATAAAGATGCCGGGGGATGAAGGCCGATGGGCCTGTATGATAGCCCCTGACATCAAATAAAGATGTCGGAGGGATGAAAGCCGAGGGACCTGTGTGATTGCCCCCGACATCAAATAAAAATGTCGGAGGGATGAAGGCCGATGGGCCTGTATGATAGCCCCCGACATCAAATAAAGATGTCGGAGGGATGAAGGCCGAGGGCCGTTGTGATGCGGAATCACGCTGAGGCCGAGGGCCGTTGGTGATATGAGATCACGCTAAGGCCAAGACCGTTATGACATAGAGTCATGTTGAGGCCGAGGGCCGTCTGATGTTGAGGCCGAGGGCCATTGTGATGTCCTCACGCTGAGGCCGAGGGCCGTTGTTGATGTTGACTCATGTTGAGGCCGAGGGCTGTCTGATGTTGAAGCCGAGGGCCATTGGTGTTGAGTCATGTTGAGGCCGAGGGCCGTTGTGATGTGGAATCATGCTGAGGCCGAGGGCCGTTGGTGATGTTGAGGCCGAGGGTCGTCCTGATGTTGAGGCCGAGGGCCGTTGTTGATTTTGAGACCGAGGGCCGTTCTGATGTTGAGGCCGAGGGCTGTTTGTGATGTGGGATCACGCTGAGGCCGAGGGCCGTTGGTGATGTGAGATCACGCTAAGGCCAAAACCGTTATGACATAGAGTCATGTTGAGGCTGAGGGCCGTCTGATGTTGAGGCCGAGGGCCATTGTGATGTCTTCACGCTGAGGCCGAGGGCCGTTGTTGATGTTGAAGCCGAGGGCCGTTCTGATGCTGAGGTCGAGGGACGTTGTTGATGTTGAGGTCGAGGGACGTTGTTGATGTTGAGGCCGAGGGCCGTCTGATGTTGAGGCCGAGGGCCATTGTGATGTGGAATCATGCTGAGGCCGAGGGCCGTTGGTGATGTGAGATCACGCTAAGGCCAAAACCGTTATGACATAGAGTCATGTTGAGGCCGAGGGCCGTCTGAAGTTGAGGCCGAGGGCCATTGTGATGTCCTCACGCTGAGGCCGAGGGTCGTTGTTGATGTTGAGGCCGAGGGCCGTTCTGATGCTGAGGCCGAGGGCCGTTGTGATGTGGGATCACGCTGAGGCCGAGGGTCGTTGGTGATGTGAGATCACGCTAAGGCCAAAACCGTTATGACATAGAGTCATGTTGAGGCTGAGGGCCGTCTGATGTTGAGGCCGAGGGCCATTGTGATGTCCTCACGCTGAGGCCGAGGGCCGTTGTTGATGTTGAGGCCGAGGGCCGTTCTGATGCTTAGGTCGAGGGACGTTGTTGATGTTGAGGTCGAGGGACGTTGTTGATGTTGAGGCCGAGGGCCGTCTGATGTTGAGGTCGAGGGCCATTGTGATGTAGAATCGAATTGAGGCCGAGGGCCTTTCCTCGATAGTTCCAGGAGTCCTCTGGGTGTATGTTCTTTCTTTCAGGCATCGACCGAGGGGTTGATTCCCCGCCTCGGCCGAAAGGAGGTCCAAGTGATCCGTCCGGGGGTTCGTCTGTTAGTCCCCCGGCGCTGGGCCATCCCTTGATTGTGCCAGGAGGTCGTATGTTAGTCCTCCTGATGTGTGTTCCTTCTTCTAGGCTTCGGCCGAGGAGGTTGCTTCCCCGCCTCGGCCGGAAGGGGGTCCAAGTGATCCGTCCGGGGGTTCGTCTGTTAGTCCCCCGGCGCTGAACCGTCCCTTGACCTTGGGGGGTCCCGTCGTCTATTTACGGCGCGGGCTAGGCTTGGTCGGTTTCCGACGACTGCCGTTTCACCCCCAAGTTTGGGGATTTCGTCACCTCAGCCATTCTTTCAGGTCTGTCGCCGTGCGTTGCGCGCCGGCGACGCGGCGAGCGTCCCGCTCCAAAAACGCGGGCCTTTTGCAGGCCCCTCGTCTTTATAAACCATCGGCCATACCTGGGCATTTGGCCTCGAAGGGGCCGATAAGATGTCTGGATTGTGTTGTAGTTTACTTAAATTCATAGAAATAAGCGGAATACAAGGGGTGCGTTGTTTGACAACGGCTTTGTTAAGATTCACCGCTCAAGGCCGAGGGCTCTAGGCCGAGGGGATGGTAATGGGCCCAAGGCTGAGACTAACGCCGAAGGTGAGGAACATGATTAGCGGAGGTGGCGCTTCTTCGGCTGGGGCTCCTCGAACTCCTCTCCGTCACTGAGCCTCCCGATTTCATGTTTCTTTGTTGCGATGTCCCCTTCTTCTTTATCGGTGTTCTCCCCGGTGTTTTTCCTTGGGGCATTTTTGATGAATTGGTGGAGCTCACCCCGTTGAATTAAGAGTTCAATAGCCTTCTTTAACGAGACACAATCGTCTGTATTGTGGGAGGTGCTTTTGTGGTAACGGCAATAAGTGCCGCCTTGGTGGATGGCGTAGATCTCCCTCGCCGACCGAGGGTCCTTGGGGAAAAGGTCCTGCTCTTCCGCATAGTTGAGGATAGTGCTCACCGGGTGCGTGAGGGGAGTCCTCGGCATGTCCAGCCGAGGGCGCCATTGGCGTTCGTTACGGCCCTGCTGGGTGTGGCTTCCATGGTCTCGGCCTCCGGCCGAGGGCACATTTGGGGCCGGCGTGTTGTTTATCTTCTTCGAGGGCTGGCCCTCGTTCTTCTTGAAGGAGTGGAGGTCGTCGGCGTCAGCGTATAGGCTCCCCCGCTGGAGTGCTCTGAGGTATGATCTTGGGGGGTCGGTGATGAGGCTCCGTGCGTAGGGGCTGCTGTGGAGAACCCCCTGGAAGAGGACGAGGAGGGTACGCTCATCGGCGCCCTCGACCTCGTCTGTCTCCTTCATCCACCGGTCAATGAAGGACCGAAGTGTTTCGTCAGGCTGTTGCTTGACGGAGAGGAGCTGGGAGAAGTGCTTTCTCGCGCGCTTCCTTCCGGCAAAATGGGTGAGGAAGCGTTGGGCAAGATCTTGCCAAGAGTCAATGCTTCCCTCGGGCAATCGATTGAACCATTCGTATGCTGGTCCCTCCAAGGTGGAAAGGAACCAACGACATAAGTATTCATCTGATGCCCCCATCATCATCATGCTGTTTTGATACATGTTGTAGTGCTCCTGGGGGTCAGTTTTTCCTTCATAGGGCTTGATGAGTTGCCCTCGGTACTTTTCCGGGATTTGGGCCGCCAATACCCTTGGGGTGAATGGCGTCCGGGTCCGGAGCTGGATGATGGGTTCCCCGGAGCCCTCGGCTACCTTCTTCTGTAATTCCTCCATTTTGGCCATCATGGCCTCGTATTTGAGGTCTGAATGAGGGGTGGAGGTGGTGGCGTGAGCTTTGTCGGCCTCCATTTCATCAAGTCGGTGTTGGAGGGCCGCAATAATTTCGTCCCGGGGGTCCTTCGGGAGGGTCTCCGCCCCCTGCGAATGAACCCGGGCCGAGTGGGCCTGGTTGATCTGGTGGCGAGCATCGTCGGCATGAAGGGGTGCCTTGCCTTTGTCCCGAGGGGGACGCTCCTCGTCTGCCCTCGAGACAGACCCCCCGCTTTCTTGGGGCCCTCGGCGGTCTTGCCCCCCTCCGAGCCGGTTGAGGGCGGAAGTGCGGGGCCTTTCTCTGTTGTAATTGTGGCGGTCCCGGGACTGAACTTCCTGGGAGGCCGTGTCTTGGGCCACTACCCCTTCGTCATTCCTAACCCGAGGGATGGGGTTTCCGAAGGGGTGTGGCAGAGGGGGAAGTATGATGTTCTCCCCAACCTGGGGTTGAGCCGGAGCCAGGGTGCCGAAGGCACCCGGGTTCTGAGTTAGCGTCTGGATGAAGGCGGAGAGTGCCGAATGAATGTCGATGGTGAGGACCGGAGGGTTGACTTGGTCATCGCTCCGGTTTTTCTTCTTGGCCTCGATGCCGAGGCGGGCATCGGGGGCATTCTGCTGGATCTGAAGGCGTAGGTCGACGGCCGCCTGTTCCAGCCCAGCGATGACACCGCCCTCGAGAGCCTTGTGAGAGGCTTCGAGGGCGTTGACGTCGCCGAGGGCCAGGTTCTTGTCTTCTACGTTTTTGGAGTTGGCACGTGTTGTTCTCACCATTTTGGTAGAGGGCTAGTGTTTGGCGAAGGGGGAGGGTTTCTTACTTGATCGTTCGACCTCTCAACGAGAGCACCAAATGATGGATAGTGTACCTGGGGGTAGCTTATCCGAGGAGTTATTGCGGAGAATAACTAGAGAGAAGTCAGAGCAAATAAGTAAGAGACAGAGTGTATATTCGATATGTATTAAGCGTGGTTTACAATAAGGGAAAGGGGTGCTATTTATAGTAGTAATAAATGCTAGATAAGGACACGTGTCAGTTTTCTGGTGGTCGAGGGGTCACCTCGACCGGGGTGGCACTGGCACTCGCATGTGGCCGCATTAAATGCGGTGGTTGGATGTGACGTTTGTACTTGGTACGGTGATCCAGGCGCATGTGAAGAGGATATTCTGTCAAGGTGGATGCCTTCGGCTGAAGGGTGCTGGGCCGAAGGCTCTTCTAACTGAGGGCTCCTACCTGCCGAGGGCTGCAGGTGCCGAAGGCTTGGTTTTCAAGCCTTGTTCTCCTGTGATGCCTCTTCTAACCGAGGGCTCCTACCTGCCGAGGGCTGCAGGTGCCGAAGGCTTGGTTTTCAAGCCTTGTTCTCTTGTGATGCCTCTTCTGACCGAGGGCTCCTACCTGCCGAGGGCTGCAGGTGCCGAAGGCTTGGTTTTCAAGCCTTGTTCTCATGTGATGCCTCTTCTAACCGAGGGCTCCTACCTGCCAAGGGCTGCAGTTGCCGAAGGCTTGGTTTTCAAGCATTGTTCTCCTGTGATGCCTCTTCTAACTGAGGGCTCCTACCTGCCGAGGGCTGCAGTTGCCGAAGGCTTGGTTTTCAAGCCTTGTTCTCCTGTGATGTTTCTGAGCTCGATTCCGTCACTGGTAGCCTTCGGCCATGGGGCCGAAGGCCCCCCCTTTGTGTATTGTGGGCTGCTTAGAGCTCCATTTTTCTGGGCTTGGCCCGTTTGGGCCTGTTGGGCCTGATTGTAGTAGAGGAAGTATGTGGGTCAGGGGTCCCTGAGCCATATACTCCATCAGTATGTTTTATACTTTCAAAATAAGGATTTTAGAGCTATTAACTATAGTCTTGACTAAAATATAACATAAAAATATTGTTGTTGTAGATGGATTCAATAATAATTTGTTTTATGTAGGATAAAAATAGTTAGGAAATTGAATTCACAAAATATAACTTCGCCACCTAGCCATAAGGTACATAATAGGTGATATTGATTATGAAATACTTAAAACAATATAAAGAAAAATAAAACCTAGAGATATTGTTATGGATTTTGCCCCCAATAACAAGTTTTCTAGATCCGCCACTGCTAGTATGTATCGAAGATTCGAGGAACATATAGCAGTTAGTGGCAGCTTCTTCTTGATATTAGTTTGCCTGTTTACTTTCTTTAGTTTCACTTATTTAGAAGCAATCACCCTTTGACAAAGAAGCAGAGAGCAAGGGTACAAAAGTGAGAATACATGATTAGCAAGAGCCATCCCACTTAAGGCTGCGGCTTCCAAACTTGAACCGAGTAACCAGTCACCACATACACCTGCTCTTCCATAAGGATCAAAGATGCAAGGAATGCTGGGAGTGTTTGTGGGAAGTGCTGCACCCCTGAAAATTAGCAACATTAAATGACTGATCATTCCTGGAAAAGCAATCTAATAGCACATAAGTTGAGAAGATCCGCACACAGAATTGTGAGCTTAAAGAGAACAGATATTTTACTTATTTAAGATTGTATACAGCAATAGCCGTTCCCTGGTACAAGGATGTACATGTCTTACATTACAGCTCATGAGCTCATCTGTATAAATAAATATCTTGAACTAAATCCAAAACACAAGATCCTTTAGCCTTTTTTAACTTGAAAACCAACCACACTATAGAGCAAAATGGAATTACTGTACTTTTAAGAAAACCAAGAGTATTACCAGTTACCACAAAGAAAGTGATAGTAAAACTAGTAAAATCACACAATTGGAATATATTACCAGTTCCAAAGTTGTAGAAAACTTTTGAACGTTAGAAAATGGGCTCAAAGCAACTTATGCAAAGAACAGAATATATATAGCAACTTATAATTGGATAGAAGTTAATTTAATGGCAGTATATATTACTACCTCCGTTCCCCTACAATTGGGACAAAGGAGAGTGGTGCGGATTTTAAGAAAAATAGAGTTATGTGGTTGATAATGAGTTGATAAGGTGGGAATAAAGTAAGAATGAATTAGAGCCACACAAATATTACCAAATATGGTATGAGACAAATTTAGTGGGACGGATGGAAAAGAAAAAATGGGACAATTATAGTGGGACGGAGGGAGTAATATATTACAGACAATACTCTTGTATTGATTTGCATTAAATGTCAGTATATAGAATGTTTGCCTTTCACTTCAACCTGATAAGTATTATTAGTCATCATTAAAAAACAACTAACATAACATAATAGTTAAAAGATTTCACTCTACCATAATTGTAACCGTGTATAGAATGGACTTTTAAGTGATCTGGGTGGAAGTCCTAAAGCTTTTTCAACGCCCTCAAGCATAGCTTCCTTTACTTTCACAGCTGTATCAGTTGGAATACTTTCCTAATAAAATTGCAACATGTGTCAGTATTAAACCAAGAATATCTTTGGTAATACAATTGCAATAATCACAAATATTGAACAAACACATCTTTTGATTCAGCCATTCAGGTTTATAGATATACTCTCTCTCTGCCTTCTTAGATCACTACTGGGGAATGCAGTGTGAATTCCTCAGACCAATTTAGATCTTATATTAAAAAGATTCCCCTGCCTGCAAATCTATCCGCGCAAGTAACGCGACCTAGCTGATATCACTATGGCATTAATAAAAGGTATAATTGTATTTAAATGGCTGAAGGAGAGAGAGATGACAATTGCACAGGTACTGAACTGATCAAGAATTATTGAGTTTAAATAAAGTAAAAAACTGTTGACCCTGTATAAATAAAGCCTACTAAATGAGGATGTCACATTGGCACCCAAATTATTTCATACAGCATATTCAATTTTTATTATTATTTGTCATAATCCATGCCTCATCAAAGTTTACAGTTGCAAATGGGTCAAACACAAATTTTGCAGATGTTGGTAGACTTATAACCTTGTCAACTTTACCCTTAGAGCATGGCTCATAATATCATATGTCCCTGCGCAGAATCATATACAGGGTACAAGAGTTGAACACGAGTCTCAAAGACTATTCTGTCAATCTACCTCTAGATCTGTTTTTAACAATCATTGTTCTGGCCTGCATTCCACCAATCTCCAGGTCAATTATTTGATCATTCGAGTCATCCTAGTATTTAGAATTCAATTTTCGCATTTAGAATGAGAGCCATGCTAATCTGGCAATGAATCTTGAAAGTCATTTGAAATAAGGATCTGGGCAAGTTGAGATACTTTCTGTTACAGATACATTCTGAGGCAAACAATACAGCAGGCGACAGGGCCAAGAACAAACCCAGAATATTGCAGATTCATACCCGGACAGTGAGCCCAAATATGCTGGAAAACAAAGTGGCTAAAAGAAAATATAAGTTGTAGGAATAACTAATCGGTAATCTTAAGTGTTGCAGATTGATTAGGAAACTACTAATATTTAGTTATTAATCTATTACTATTATTCCTATTTCAGTTTTAGGCAACTTCCTAATTATGCTATTATTCCTATTTCAGTTTTAGGCAACTTCCTAATTATAATATTATTCCTATTTCAGTTTTAGACAACATCCTAATTATTAATTGTCTTTAGGACTCTTATATTAGCCTCTCTATATAAGGGTCATTACTATTATCAATAAAGTACTTTTGGAAGAATTAATTTTGTGTCTTGACTAGGTCAGACATTAATTTAATATTTTAATTCCTACTTAAGATTTCAATTCTTCAGAAATCATAGACTTCAATAACACAGGTTCTTAACAATTTGGTATCAGAACCCGGGACAATGGGCAACGACGCAGCAGGAGCCGAGGCATTGAAACACATGGTTGAGGGCATTGACCAACACCAGCTACTGTCGAACACCAGCTGGCCGAACTGCGGGATTGTGTTGCTAAACTGGTATCTCAGTCCGTTAGTGGTATAGTCATTTCCCTGTGAAAGTATGCCCTGAATGTTCATGAAGAAATCGGCTTGCTTGATTGAAGACCTGTATATAATCCTATCGTCAAACTTCCTTTCAATGAGTGGCAGATAATATCTATCCAAGGCAATAGAGGGAGACTCGTTGAAAAGTTGAACCATCTTACCTTCACAACATGGTATCTCTTGTATGATTAGTGTGCTTAGTCTGTTTATAGCTTATCCACATAGTTGCTATTGGCATGCTGTTATTTGGATCTTGAGATATACATCAAGGCATTGGGTCAAAAGACTACTCTATGAAGATAGGTTTCATTTCTAGATGGTTGGATATTCTGATGTTTAATCGGAAAGTTGTCCACAAGACAGGCGTTCTACATCTGCATATTGTGTATTGTAATTTAATAACTCAAAAAAAGGAGAAAAATAAAATATGCACTACCGAGATACGTAGCCAAGACAAGTGTCGTGTTGGCAACATATGAGCTTGTACAGTTGAAGCACTTACTTATGGGACTAGAGAGTAGCAGCAATGCACAAGTGAGTGAATCAACTCTTATATTTGATAACCAAACAGCATCCACATGACCTCAAACCCGCTATATTCTGAAAGGGCCAAGCTGGTCGATTGTCACTTCACGAAGGAGAAGATTGTGCTCCGACACACCATTGCATGCTTCATTAATTTTCTGGATCGACTTGCAAACATATCAACATAACCTCTTGTACGTCCCAGTATGGGGTAATATTTTGCGGCAAGTTGGATGCAATATGACTTATATTGTTCCCACTCGAGAGGGAGTGCGAAGAAGACTAAGTGGTAGTAAAAAGCTAGCTGGTTTTATAAGGTTAGTTGAAGGTTAGCTGATACAAACACGGTATATGTTAGAACTACCTGTGGAACTTTGTTTTGCATTCCAAATGCTGCTGAGCTCAAAATTGTCCAACAATGAGGACCAACGGTCTTGAAACCCGACAGTTTCTTGGTATTATTTGCCATCCATGAGACAGAATCAACCCCTTTAACAAAGGCTCCCTCAAAGCTAGCAAAATCTGCATTGGCTATTGGAAGGGAATCCTCAAATGTGGCAAGAAGAGCCCATATCGAACTCAACTTAAGTCGCTGCAAAACATGAAGATATTAAACGGTCATAGGAGATACAGTTGAATAGTTGATTGCTTAAACAAAGCTTAGAACTTCTGGGGAATGTTTACAGTGTATAACAGAGTGACTTCTGTGATTACCTTCATTTGTCTTGCAATTATTGGAAGACCTGATGACGCAAGCAAACGATTTGCACATTTTCCTGGTTTAATAATGCATCAATACAGCCGAAACATAATTATCAGCAGAAATGTAAAACACATCAATTGAGATTTTTTTAAATGTGGCTTAGCTTCTATGACACTATGACAGGGTTGTAGTACTTCGACAAATGCTTAATCCATCAGCTATGTAAATTGAAAACAGAACAACCATACCAGCAAAAAGATACTACTTGGTTTTGTTCAAATCTACAACATATCTGCATTACAAGCAGACCTATACCCCATAAGTAGCCTTAGCATACCCTATAGCAGACTTAGGGTTAAATTACATTTATTGTACACCTCTGTCTTTTACTCGTCTATTTACTCTCCTGTATATCCTAGTTGTATCAAGTGAGCAAAATAAATGATATTTTTTTCATTAGCAGGATTGAAAAAGAAATGATCATTCATGAGAGGATCAAATATACACTCCGACAATGTTAACTTAACTTGGCTGACTATTAAGCGCAGTGCTTATTACGTCTTATATTAGTAATAAACTCATGCTTAATGAATAAATTAAGGGAACATTCCCGAAATAAGAGTAAAAAGCTTGAAAATTTCTGAAATAAGAGTAAAAGGCTTGAAAATTCCAAAATAGGACTGTCATGTTTTTATTCCCAAAATAGGAGTAATTACTGCCAAGTTTAGAAAATACTGTCATGTTTAAAGTCTGATACTGCTAAAACATGGTAGTAATTAGTCCTATTTTGGGAATAAAAACATGATAGTCCTATTTAGGAATATACAAACGTTTTAGTCCTATTTAGGAATATACAAACGCTTTAGTCCTATTTAGGCTAATTTCCCATATTAAAACACGACTACATAATAATGAATTGTTTACTCCATAGTCATGTTAGCCTCATTAATGCGTCCATACATTTACTTTACACTTTACAAAGGTTGAAGCATGTGTTGAGCTAAAATGACATGGTAGTCGTTCCCCAACTGAGGTATGGTGTAGAGACATGGAGTACCAAGTTGGTACGGGCTTCAAGTCACCAACACTGAAGGTCACTATCCGATGGTGGTGGCTTACATTCTGCTGACAACAAAAGCAGTGCCTATCAGACCATTGGTAGAACGGAAGTGATGAGGCAGGAGTAGAGGCCTCAAAAACAGCATCCATACAGTGATATAGGTGGACTAACACGCAACGCTACAGGACAGTGGAGTGGTGTGGTTGAGGGGTGACGAATGGAAATGTCAGTGGAGGTAGAGGCCCAATGGCCGGCAGTGGCAGAGGCTCAAGGGTTGACAGTTACAAAGGTCATCAAAAGGCAACAAGGGTGATGGTGGAGCTCTGGAAACTGACTGAGACCACAGAGTTCGTAAAGTGGATCCTGCTGCCTGCCTCTAAAAGGGTTAGCAGAAGTTGCGTGAGGTTGGGAGTACACGTTGATTCAAATATTGGCATGTCCAAGGATCATGTAGTAATTATAGAGAAACTTAAAGCACCATCTAAATAATACATGGGGTCATGGGAATATGGGATTATCAGGCAGCGCTTGAAGCGACCAACCTGGATAATAAGAGGTAGTTACGCACCTCATGTGCTAATTTCACTTTCATAATTACCTTGACTGCTTGTTTAGCAGCAAAGTAAACATATTCACCGAGTGAAAGGGAACGTTTTTGAGACACATAAAAAATCCAAAATGAACAAGGATTTACTGAAATGGATAAACTACTAAGAGAAAATGTACATAGTTACCATTATGTGCAATGACAACTGCATCAAAGTGGCCACAAGATTTCCCATTCTCACTCAGGTGCCATGTCCCATTATATGGATCAAGGGCACTAATCCAACACGGACGTACAACTTTGACCAAGCTAGTCTGCACCACATCCAAATTTCCAGGATTTAAAAAAAAGACAGTCCGGTGCACGACAAATTTCAAGGATTCTCAGAGAAAAATACGCAAGAGTGATAGTTCTAGAAATTCACAGGAAATAATATTTTGATAGCTTTTGTCTAGACTTAAAGCATCAAGTCAATACTATTAGTTCCATACATCCAGTGGGCTTTTTGGCTAGAAATTAAATATAAAAATTTGAAAATGGAAAAGATTAATGGTCTTTTTCTACACCCAAAGCTTGTCCCTTGAGCAGCAGGTTTTTGCTTCAATACTAAAATACTACAATATCACAACAATAAATGATATAGATAAGTTACCCGCCACTAAAAATTATGGTGGATTGCTTAAAATAAAATAATAATAAAAAGGCAGTGCACGATTTAGAAGGTTAGATTATGAGACATCAATTCAAGGTGATATCTCAAGTCTAAATAGCTTGGCTGGCCTGGGCAACCTGGAATCGATGCGATTAAAAGGATAAATTCATAATCAGTACATTGTGGTGCTCATTGATGGCAAAAATGTACACAATGTAGTTCAACCATCGGTGGTCGAAAAGATGCAACTTCCAGTAGCACCAATATTAACACTTCGTGTTTACGTTGGTACTGGTAATTTTCTAGAGTGTGACTGGTGGGTGCAAGGAAAGCAGTTTGCATTAGCACTCTGTTCTTCCCATAATGGATCCAGATTTTTCCCTCGCTGTACAGTGGCTGCAAGAACTGGGTAAGGCTACACCACGACTATGCTATGTTGATAAAGGAATTCAGGTGGAAGGGTAAGGAAATTTTGCAACGTGGTGACTAAAATACAGAGCCGGGGAGAACTTCTTTCAATCACTTACATGCCTCGGTCCAGAAGGATGATATACACGGTTTCTTTCAAATATTCCAGTTAATGAGCAATGTGGCAGCCCACAATCAGGACCTGAATTTCCAGAAAGTTCACGTCTTCACTCAGCCCACAGCCCCCCCCCCCCCCCCCCCCCCCACACACACACACACCACTTGTTTGATCATGAGATTCATTTAATGGAAGGGTCAAAGGCTTCAAATCCGATGAGCACTCGCCCTTATAGATATCCTCATTTCCAGAAGGGTGAGATCAAGAAGATGCCAACAAAACTATGAGGGGACTGAAAAAAAAGTCATACTACGCCATAGGTCTTCCATAGTGTTTCATGTGCCTTTCTACCCATTGAATCACTCACACTATAGCCATGCACAGTATCATCTAATGGACACACCTGTTAGAAGGAGTGAAGGCATTGGAATCAAAGATACTCGTAAAAGATAGAGAGAAAGAGCTAAGTTGACTAGGGAAGGGACATGCAGACAATAGCTCTTGTGTCTAATAACACGGCCTTCAATGAGAACAGGTGGTGTTGCTTGTTCCACATAGCTGCACCTAATGGGAGAAAAGACTTACTTTGGCTTCCAGAGTGTCTTCTTTAACAGAATCTTGAATCATGACAAATAGAAAATCTAAAGGAATAGATTTGCAAGCATTATTACTTCAATATAAATGAATAATAAAAATATAGGTTGAAGTATGAATAAAATATCCAGAACTTTCTCAAATTTGATGCTTTTATTATATAGTGTTTCCCATTAACAGCTCCATTGAAGAATACAAGCGCAAGGTTGAGGTTTCCAAATATAGGTTGAGAAATCAGATGGAAAATCGAGTTAGACATGTGGAACCGCCTTCAGAATTTACTGTTATTGCTTATTGTGCAATTTAATCCCTGTAAGAACATGTCTCATTTGTGTTCAGAAATTATCTTATTTGCGAGAATAGTCCCGAAACACTTCACTTTTTTTACCCCAGAGGGGGTCGGGGGCTGGGGGGCCTAAGCTTAACTGGGATCAAACTCAATCCATTGAGTATTGAACCCGGGATCTCCAATAAGGGAGAGTGAGTCGGCGGCCAGCTGAGCTGGACCGCTTCCTGTCCCAAAATACTTCACTGTTTCAGTAATATTTTATGAGACTTCTGGAGATGTACATGTGTAATAATTGAGAACCATGATTTATCCTTAATTAAATAATACTATGTACTACGTAACACTAATTGGGACCTTTTCTATACCAAAAAAGTTGGACAGTCAAATAATACCGATCAAGAGAGAGGAGAAAAACGCAAATTTCATTTCCTTCTCCAACTTCATTTACAATGCATTAATTAAAAATTACAGATTAACCATATATTCACAAATGTTTTTGATTTCACTCCGAACTCGTGTAGAATTTGATTCGATCATATCTTGCTCTATTTTGTTCCGTTGAAAGCGTTTAATATCTTGTTGGAAAGATCGTACTCAGTTCTAAAATTTGTCTTCAGGCGCTGGTTTCAAAATATCAAGGGATGATTTCCTAATTACTAAAATACACTGTATTTACGCTAAAAGTGCTCTATTTACGCTGAAAACGCTAAATCATAGAGATAAGGCTAAGTATTTGTGACACTCATATCTTTCTGTGTGTTCTTCCGTTTAGAGCGTATTATATCTCGTTGGAAAGATAATTTGGAGCTCTAAAGCTATTGTTCCAACTTCATTTACAATGCATTAATTAAAAGTTACAGATTAACTATATATTCACAAATGTTTCTGATTTCACTCCGAATTCGTGTAGAATTTTGGGTGATTACATAGGAACCAAAGTAGACTCTCTCAAAATCCTTCACGGGAAATGACTAGGCATCCCACTTAAATGAAAAAATGTTAGGCACCTGGGACAGTATTGAATCTGCAAGTGGGCGCATTCCATTGACCCCTATATATCTTGGAGGTGAAGAAGATGGAAAAGGGGTGAATCTCCCTCCTTTTTGAAGCTCCCCAATGGTACCATGCCACTGTTCAACCAGACCCCTGTTGGACCAGTCATTTACCAACTCTGAGAAGCTGGGATCATTCACAGTGAAGAACTGAGCTGCATGATCAAATATCAATGATTGGGGATCAATTATCCGTGTGCCCATTCTTCCACCTAAGCCATGAACTCCCTATAGCACGCCCAAAATTTAAAGGAAAAAAACCAATGAGCTACAATAATATAAGTATCTAAAGGGACATGTGTAACTTAATTGTTACAGAGCACTAAATAGCACAATCTAAAAAATATTTTGCAAACTGCACAGAAAGCCAAGTACCCTCTTAGGAATTCGCATTCCTCTCATCTGCAACTGAATACTCAAAGCAATTTGAATAAATGGAAACTAAAAACGACCAACCGAATCAAAAACGGTGGACCGGATGCCTCTCTTATCCAAGTAAAGCGCGCAGACCAGGCCAGACATCCCACCTCCTATAATCCCAACCACCGGGTCATCTGGAACCCGATTGGCGAAGCTCACCTGCTCCTGCGTGAAGGTCTTTTTAAGCGCTGACCTCCGGGAAGTTCCGTGAGAAGACTTGGGTTTAGATCTTTTCGGGCTTGTGGTTCTGGCTCTATTGGCCGAGTGATTCATAGCCTGTCTCCCGCCGGAAGGCCTCGGGTTGTCGGAAGCTGTGACAGAGAAGAACCGAAATGGGGAAACAATTCTGGAGAGTCGAGGAAAGGAGGAGAAGTTATTAAGCAGAGTGTTGTTGCTTGGCTGCAGAAGGAAATGAGTGGACGGGAAATGGTTGAAAGCGCTGGCGGGAGCCATGGCCAACGACAAATGGAGGGAAAGAATGGGAGCGACAGGTATTGGGCCGAGTTTAAGGTTCAACCGGAAATATACCAAGAAGGATTTAAGTTTCAACAGGTATCCTTCCCTAAATTATTTTTCAAAGTACATCTGACACGGAGATTAAGATAGTGAGATTTATGTGATAGAAAGTTGTGAAAAGGAGAGACAAATGTGTACTAATGTGTAAAAATTGTTGTAAACTAAAAAATTCATTATCAAAAAGGAAAAATGAAAATCATTTTGGGACGAACGAAAAATGAAATTTAGAAGATAATTCAGGGAAGGAAAGAGTACTACATATTTGTAGATGTGATAATCGATTTGCATAATGTGGGATACATATTTAAAATTTAAAATTTTAGCAATCACAACTTTTCCACTACATATGGCGGGTATGATTTGGGAATGAGAAATGATGTTAAATAGGAGCTTAAGTTTTCGTATGTAATTAAATAATACCTTGACTTTTTTAACTCCTAAATAGGACTTGTTTTCCCATCTTTTCCAGATTTGCCCTTGTCTTTTTTTAAAGCTCCGTGTCGGCAATTTTACCTGCCACCGCACATAAGGATTCTGGAACCCAAAGGAATCACAACTAGAGATGGATGATGGTCAACGAAGGCGGCGGAGGACGGCCAGTGGAGGCGACGGCGGAAACCAGCGGCGCTGACGAGAAGCAACGCCGACGGCCAACGACGGTGATGTTCCCATCTCGCACCTCTTCTTCTTCACAGATACAACACTCGAACCTCTGCCCGCGTCACAGCCCACGCTGCTGCTGACCTACCACATTCCATGTCCCCGATCAAATATGTCTCTTTTCTCCTCCACCTCTTCTTCTCTTTTCTTTCCGATGAAGCTGGGGAGATGAAGAAAACCATCGCCAATAACCTGCTGTCAAAGGAGATTAGGTGATGCTTATATTTGTTTAATCCATGATCGACTTCGCCAAATCCATGCTACAGGAGATGCAGGGGAAGAAGATTCAGGCTGTATCAACGGAAACCGTTGCCGGAAAACGTCATTCTTTCAGCCAATAAAAGAAAAAATAGTGCTTTGTACGTACGAACAAACTGAAAGCAGATAAATAAGGATTGTAAAAGTCAGCCAATAAAACGTAAGAACTCGAATTGCAACAACATAAGAAATTCAATTTGTTTTAATGTTTCTGTCTTATTGTAATTTCCTATTTCAATTTGTATGGTAAGTGCTTTTTTGCTACATGCAGCTACTCCATGTTTTGTTTTGTTATTTTGAAAGAAGAAGAGTGCTATGTTTTGTTCTATGTTTATGACATTGTTATAAATGTTTGGTTCCACTTTCATTGTTATGACATTGCAAATGTCATTTACATTGTTAAGTTTTTTTATAGTGATGAATGTGAATTGGCTTTGTTTTGACAACGTTGCACCTCCTAAAAATAAAAATTACTACGTATATTTTAGAGCTTTGGCATTAGTTTTAAAAATGTCATTTTCATAATGATTGACATTCTTATGACATTGTTATTGGCATTTTTATGACATTGTCATTGACATTCTTACAACATTGTCATTGACATTCTTATGACATTATCATTGACATTGTTTTCTATTGACATTCTTATGGCTTTGTCATTGACATTTTTATGACATTGTAATTGACAATGTTATTTTTTATAATATTGACATTGTTATTTTTTTTGCACTACATTTTTATAATCCTCAATTGTAACATTATTTATTGTGACAACCATTATGATTTATGATGATAATGTTATATTGTAACATATTTATTGATATTTGAGTGAATTTACTCTGTAGCTATCAAGCTTTAATTCATAACCATACAAGTTGAATTCAGCTGCAATCCGAACTTTGCCAATCGAATATGGCCGGGCGTCAGCAACTCCAGGGAAGAATGGGATGAGGATAAGCCTTTACAAGCATGGATGCGTTAGTTAACGAAGTCCGCCCATCCAATATACTAAGATAAAAAGATACATGAAGCATCGCGGTTGCTCAGCAAATCTTCCGCTTGCCGGCGAAAGATTTTGCTACCTTAGCTCTGCCCACTCAGCACGTGAACTTCTTATGTCTCTCTCTCCTCTTCATTCCCTCTAACGCCACGATGTCCGCCGCAATCGTACTTACTCCACCTCCCACCTCTCCCTACTGCTCGGTGGTAGCATCCCCCCAACGAGTCAAATACACCGCGTATTGGTTACGGCCCTCATGAACCTCCTATAAGTGAGTGAATCTGGCCAGGCAGTGGCCGGTTGTCCGGAGAGTGCCAATGTCGCGTCTGCTACCAGTGATCTTGAGCGTTGGCGGTGGGTTGCGATCCTCTAGGGCTTGCATCAAGGATGGTCTTGTTTAATTGGAATGGGGGTAGTTTTGTCTCTTCGGTGGCCAATTAGTCCTATTTAGGAGTTTAAAAGTTCTAGGTCTTATTTACATGTCATCCGTATGTTTTACTCATATACATGTCTTTATCACTTTGGGAATACACACTCTTCCCCTAAACATGTATTACCTTCGTCTCACTATCATTATGGCATAATGATGTGATGTGGTTATTAAGAAAAGTGAGTTTATGATGCTAAATATTGAGTTGATAAAGTAAAAATGATCTGAAATTCTACAAAATTTACCTAATTTGGTAGGAGACGATCTTAATTCTTAATTGGAAGGACCGAAAAAAGACAATCTTAGTTATATACTTGTATCCATTGATGTTTATGAAAGGAGAGGTTTTTTTATAACGTGGGTGCCCATACCATTTTTTGTACGAATAATCCTGCATGCCCTTATGAACAATTAGGTAAACCTTTAGTGACGAGAATTTGAATTAGTGACCTCAAATTAGTTTTGTTGGTGAGTTCAAACCGGTTACACCTAGTGATGGACCAGGTCGGGCCTTGGGCGGTACTGGGTTTGGGAGTTGGAGGCCCGATACCGACCCGGGTGGGTTCCGAGACCGGGACCGGGTCGGGTCGATACATCTTTTTTAAAAAATTTTGTTTTTCTTATCTATTCCTACCCCCACCCCCAAACACCCTCAAACCACCCAGCCCAACCCGCCTACCACTCAATCCATTCGAAAAACATAAAAAAAAAAACATAATCGGCCCGGAGCAGTCCCGGACCAGCCGGACCGGTTCCAAGAGAAGTGCAGCCCGTGATCTGCCCCAAAACCCCCTCGATTCGGGCCCAAGCCCCGATCCCGATCAATCAGGCCGGGTCAGTACCGCACAGTGGCGGTCCGGTTTCGGTACCGGGCCGGTCGACCGGTCCTGGTTCATCCTTAGTTCCACCCCCGGAAGGTTGGGAGAAGGGATGTTAAGGGTTAGTAGCAACACATATGAGTAAAGAACGTAAATGTCAAGGTTTTATTTACTTTTCCTTGTATGTGTTGCATTGTTGCTTACCCAAAAAAATTGTTTCAAATCAATTAAGAAGTGGGTAAACCATAAGCGGCAAGACTAGTGATGGACAAGGACCGGGTCCAGGTCGGGCCTTGGGCGGTACTGGGTTTGAGAGTTGGAGGTCCGGTACCGGCCCGGGTAGGTTCCGGGATCGGGCCAGGTCCGGGTCGGGTCGGTACATGTATTTTTTTTTTAATTTTTTTTTCTTATTTATTCCTACCTCCCACCTCCACCCCCAAACCACCCAACCCAACCCGCCTACCACCCAATCCATTCGAAAAAATTAAAAAAAAAACATAACCAGCCCGGACCGGGCCCGGACCGATCGGGCCGGTTCCAAGAGAAGTGCAGCTCGTGACCCGCCCCAACCCCCAACCCCCGGTTCGGGCCCAAGGCCCAGTCCCGGTCAACCGGGTCGGGCCGATACCGCACAGTGGCGGTCCGGTCCCGGTCCATCCCTAGGCAAGACAATAATATGTAATTTATGGACTTTTCCCATTAAAAAATTATCATTATTGTAGTCTGTGCAAGTTGCTTCAATTGTTGTATACGGCCTCCATCCCATTAACATTAAGACATGAGGATGTTGTGGAGTTATTAAGAAAATAGAGTTTATGTGGTTGATATTGAATTGGTAAAGTAAAAATAAAATAAGTGAGACAGATTGAAAAAGAAATACTACCTTCATCCCAAAAAACTTTGTCATTTCAAATTTTGACCAACTATATCTTTTTATCGAAAATTATTTACTCCCTTCGCTCGTAAATAATCTTCATGGTTTGACATTGCAGTTTTTAAAAAAGTACTCCCTCAGTCCCGCTAGAAGGTTCCCGTGAACGGTTTACGATGCTTGACTGTCGATAAAGCAACTTAATCCCTGTTCACAGTCTGTTTATTTTTAGTAAATAAAATTAACATATTCAGAAACTACATTAAAACCGCTACAAAGTCTGATAAAAAAAAACTAAATTTGGCAAAAATTTGATTTATAAAGTAAATGATTAAAAATGATTTAAGTTGACAATGAGAATAGTGGACGGGAACCTTCTAACGGGACGGAGGGAGAGAATTTTTTGTTTTGACTTTCCCACCATACCCCTACAACAAGTAGATAAAATGTAGTTGGAGAGAGAAAGTGAGTGTAAAGTAGGTAATAAAGTAAGTGTATAAGAGTAACTTTATAATAAAAATTTGCCAAAAAAAGAGGTGTGATGTTTAATTTGGACCTACCTAAAAAGGAAAATGTGAAGTTTATTTAGGTTCGGAAGGAGTATAATGTTAAAATTATATTAAAATGTTCTTTGTTAAAAGTACTTTCATAAAAGTATAAAATTTATTCCATAATATTATATTAATCAAATGTATGGTTCAATTTTTTTGGAATGGGGTAGTATGAGATACTCTTAGCCAGATGAAGTGTAGTTTTAAGTTGTTCTAATTTGTTGTTTATTAATTGCATTTTATTCTTGTCAATTATTTATAGTTCTAAACATATGACCAGCCATCTGCTATTAGAAAATTTTGAGTGAATTAACATTGTAAGGAGTTTGATCTCTAGAGTCTAGAGTTGGGATTATGTTTGTTTTTATTGTCTCGATTTATGTTGATCGAGTTTATTTTATTCAAGTCATGTCTTTAAAATAGTC